CTTATGACATTTAACAAGATCAACTACCAAGGCTTTTTGTAGGGGGGTAACCCTGCAGCAGATTACAGCTTTGCACATGCAGCCAAGATTCAGCAATGTCATTTCCAGTTCTGGTTTCAGAGCTTGGGCCTAGTTAACAAAAAACAAACGTTTGAAATTCAGCAAATTTCTGATTTCAAAAGAGTGCATAAGATTAGAGTCAGTAACACAAAACACATAAGAGATTTGAAAAAAAAAAAAAAGAAAATCAACATTAAACTTTAAAATCTACATATAAAAGAATAAATAAACAGCATGAGTAGCACACCAATATTTACATGCTTAATAAGCTTTTCTGTTTGCAATGATCTTCATTGTTAGTAATTGCTGGCTCGAATGAGTAATGAGTCACCGCATCTTTCCATTCACCAACTGACAAGAACGAGAAAACATGGACGCTGGCAGACGTTCAGAAGTTACACGTACTGTTTATTTTCACTCGCTGATGTTGCAGTCAGTAAATGTTTATGTACGATTATATCACTCATCAATGCTCTAAACAGTCAATCATACCTTTGTAACATCGAGACAGAACGACAGTCATTCACAGCTGGCCACCGTTTCCGTCAGCCGCTATTTTATGCCCCACATTCTTCCGAACTTTTCCACACGTACAACCTTTCCCTTGGCCTAAACGAGACTGCCCAAACAAACCTTTTCTTCGCTATTATATAGCCCTCTGATCTGTCCTGTTCTCGAATATTCTGGATAATTTCATTCTCACGAATTGTCGTGTCTGGCCCGTGATAATTCGCATTTCACACGAATCCTGCCAGTCAACCTTCATGGTTCACGTGAACAATCATGTTTCACATAAAACCTGACTTTCAGATGTCTCTCATGAAACTCAAGACATAAATCTCGTGTTATCTCAGTCAGTCAAACATTCGCCTTACATTTATTACTGACGTCAACTATCGGGCATAACTTAATGGGGAGAAAATGACTCACTACACTGTTGCAGATCAAGCGAAAACAGTCTGAGGCTAAAGGATATATAATGTAGTCATTAAAACAGCCCTTAAAAGAACTTACTAGGGCAAAGTGGTTAATTGTCAGTTTTTGCAAATGAAGGGGTAAAACAAATGAAAAGTGTTTTAGCCACATAAGGAATACCTGATTAATATACAGTGAGCTTCTTAAAGCAGAATGACAAGAACATAAATGATATGTATAAAAAGAAAAAAAAGGACCCTTTTACACATCTTTAGGCGTATAGGGCTTACAGGGCTAGACCTATATTTTATAGGCACAAGTCGGGTGATGTGGTCAGCATCACGCTGGCCGTCATTACTTCCTGAGGCTGCACCCGGTACCAACTCAAAGCTGGGTCGACCTGGGAGCCAAGGTCATTTTTGAAAAAAGTCGAACATCTAGCCGCTCTGCCATGGCGACACCTAATAAACTATATGTATATCTAATCTGAAATGTAAGCAAGATAATGTATCCAATTTTAAAAGAAACGCCAAATCAAGTAATGGTTGAATCTGCAACACTGACGAGACTACAGGAACGTAACATCAAAAGGGGTGAAGCCAGACAAAAGCGCTACACAAGGGCCCAAAGAAGAAATAGTAAACCAACACAGAACTGGTGTCATAAGCCACTACACGCTGAGGGAGATACTGAAGAGGGAATCTGAGAACTTATGGACTGGATGGTTTGATGTGCAATGATGATAATCTATTGACTAACCAACTAACTAACTAACTAATCTGAAATGTGTTACTTCAAAATGTCTAAACACTAGATTTTCATTATACTTCGTCACTCTAAATTCATACATACCAAACTATGCCCGTTTATGACCAATGAAAATTCACCAAACTCCTCTTCTGGTGAGGCTAAATTCCCGTTCTCAACACCAACTGTGTTCTCAATTTTGGCAGAACCATTGCGGAAGGTAACATCTGAATCCACTCTGTTTGTGTTGTTCTTAATGGCATCAATATCTTCTAATGCTTTCTTCATTTGATTTTCAACACCTTCGAGTGTTTCTGCGTCAATAATAAATGGTTCTTCCATGTCATCTGTTAGCAGCCGACAAGAATAGCCAATATTGATAGCCGTTTCTGAAAAGATTTAATATACACAATAAGACACTTAAGAAGTATACATGTTTTTTTTTTTTAAATTTCTTGTAAAAATTACAAATATTTAATCAGTGATTATCCAATCATAAATACATGCTGCTATTTTTGTTTTCAATTGGAGGAGTGACTCGATGATTTTTTTTTTGGGTACCAAGCCAGTTTTTTAAAAAAAATGTACAGTCACCGGAAAACCTCTGAACAAGTAATCTTTCGCCCCCACAACAATCGTAAAAAATAACATTTTAAAGGATTTAGTTTACAAAATACATTGTAATAATTACATGAAACTCTAGAGGTCTAAAATATAGGTCTATCCCAGTATGCATAATATCCTCAATCTGTAGAAAAGGGTCCTTTATTTTACTTACTACCATAAGACAAAGTCTGGACAAAGTGACTGAGTGGTGTACAGAAATAAGGGCCGTCGTCCACCCAGAAAAGACGTCTGTTTTGTGGTGTACTCTAGACAACAGGATTGTTAGAGCTAATGTTCCAAGTCTCACGATAGATGGTAGAAATGTCAACAGAGAGCAAACTGAAGGATCTGGGAATTACATTTGGCAGGAGCCTGTCCTTTAAGGTCAATGTGGAGAGTGTTGTGACAAGATACCAAAAAGGACTTAGTGCACTTAAGACTATGGCTGCAAATGCCATAGAGCAGAGAATGCTTTTCACACTATATCAGCACCTGATCCTGTCAGTGGTTGATTATGGACTGGGACTGCTTACCGTCTCAAAGAATCAGATGGACAAACTAGAGCAAGTACAAAATGCAGCTATTCGGGTCATTCGGGGTTGCACCAGAGACACCCCAGAGGTGTGTATATGATACATCCTTGGTTTGCCAACTGTTGCAGGTAGGCAAAAGGTGCTGCAGGGGAAGTCATATCTCAAGGTAGCTGCAGACACACACCACCCTTTGCATGAAGCTCTGGTTGCAGTTAAGGGTCGGTGGCTGATAAGAGGGAAGTCATGGATGGCTCAGGCAGAAGACGCAGTCAGACAGGTTTGCATTCTTGAGAATATTAGGGGAGGAGAGGAGTGGTTCAAAAGTGCCACCTGAACAGACGTCATAATTACATTAAGCCGGGAATGCAGAGTCTGGCCAGCAGGTGCCACGGAGGTGGAAATTTAGCAATTAATTCAATATAATGCTCACTCAGAGGATTTGATTTACACAGACGGTTGAGCGTCAATAGGCAAAAGAAGTGCTTGGGATTTCTTAGCAAAAGTTAATGGTCGACGTTTGGTGCAGGATAGCCCAGCATATGATACCACAACATCAAGCTTGAGAATAGAGGTGGAGGTGGTCACCCCAGCTTTCCACTGGTTAGAGAACACAACACACACACACTTCGTGATTGTAACTGACTGCAGAGTGGCATGCTTCGCTGCGGAGGCCACGGGTGAGGAGTATTGTCTGGATTTTTTCACTGAGTTATGCCGGTGTAATGGGAAATGAACAGGAGGACAGACTGGCTGGCTCTGCGCAACTTGGTGGAATATTGAAGCATAAGGCAGAAGTGGTTGGTGCCTTGTGGGAGAGCAGGTACAGTTTAGAGGAGCAGATGAATCACCACAGTCGGGTGAGATTGATGCAGCGGGAAGTGACGAGAGGTTTTGGCAGATGCTCGAGGCTCAGAGGAAAGGCAAGACGGACGTTTAATCAGAATGCTACTGGCACCATTAGTATCGGAACTCTTCACTGACTGCTGAAGATGGGGACGGAGCATTAATGGGAATTCCCCGAATGCTGTAATGTCGGTTCTTGAATCAACTCAACCCAACTTAACTCTAAGAAATCAGAGGAGGAGAAGAAGAAAAAAAAAATTATGGAGTCTTGATCAGTTTTATAAAAATCTATGGGGTTAAAACCTACAACCACCAAGCAGACTGCTTGCTACTGAGTATCCCAACTCACTAAAAAGATGGGTTTGGTTCACATAGTCACAAAGAGCAAAGTGATGTCATACTAAGCCTAATGTTTATCACTTTTAACATTTTAAAATCATTTTTTGAAATATCTATTGAAATTTTTTTTTATTTGTCAATTTTTTTAACTTTTGTCTTCTAAATTCTAAACAGGCACTAACAAATGGAAACAAATGTAGTGGGGAAATAAAGAAGTCTAAGAGAAACCGAGACCATGCTGATTAGAGAGACCATCCTACAGGATAGATTCACTCATGATACTCAACGAACTGCATAGGTAGATCATAAAGAAAGAAGAAACTGTGAGCCCTATGTGAAATATGATGGCACAACTGAATAATGCTGATTCAGGATGAGAACAAAATCAAAGGAAAAAGTGTAAAGGGTTTCTGGTTAATTTCAGACTGAGTATTCAAGATGAAACTACACAGAAACCTTTGCAAAACCTTTGTATCTTTTTCATACTTGCAGCAGCTGTCAATTTTGCCTGTAATTTTTTTTTCTCTCCCTGTGTATTTATACCTCCTTTATTCATTTGCACGTATGGATTGTAAAGATGTAGCTTTCTAGATAAATTATTAATAAATATTTCTCAATGTGTTTCATAAGCATGAGAATGCATCTGTTCCTTACAGGTTAGCTAAAACTGAAGTTCTATGTTAGTGACTCTACCATAGTATTTCTTTTACCTGAAAGTATCAGTTAATGTTTATAGATAATTATTCTAATTCTTCAGTTTCTGATTCATACAGGAGTGCACTGATTTAATGGTTACATATTCTATTTTCTGACTGTCTGAAAATGAATATATAATGACTAATTAAACTGAATTAGTCAAAGAGAGTTTTTATTGTTAATACTGTGACACTAACTATTTAAATTATGAAACAAAAACAACAAAAACTCAGACTATAACAGTGACAGCAATCAACACACCCTGCTTATCACCAGTCAGAACCCAAATTTTGATTCCAGCGAGTGCTAGATTGGCGATTGTTTCAGGAACACCATCTTGAAGTTTATCCTCAATAGCTGTGGCCCCAATCAGAATCATGCCCTGTTCAATCTCCTCATATACAATGTCCAGTTTACCATCTCGATCATCCATAGATGTGCTGTTTGAATAACAAATGATTAATTATGAGAGGAATTCGCAAAATGTTTTTATTCTGCAATTTAAAAAAATAGAAAAACTGTAACATATTACGTTTTAATCACTCTACATAATTGGGAGAAATTGATAAAAACCTGTCATTACTTCTGACCCAAATTAATGTGGGGAGCAATATTTCTAACAATCTCTACACAGAATTAATCAGCCTGTAATTCTTGCCACTTCTGCACTGTGAGCATCTATACCAACAAACACAAAGATAAGATATAACTGTAACAGCCAAATAAAGCAGAGCATATCACATTTCAGGAGAAGAAAGCAAAAAAATGTGTAAATGTCTGTGCTAACAAACACGTTAACTGACATTACTAATTCACAATTCAACAAAATGGGTTGCACTTCTGATGGGTCAATATTACAAAAATAATTCCAAGGCAGTTTTTAAAATACCCTAATCTTGAAAGAAATTAAAACACATGACACAGATTTTACTAAGAATTATTATGGTCAACTTCTGAAAACAATACAAACATATTTAGGGGATAAGCAATGTGGGTTTGTAGAAGACATGAGTTTTAAACAAATGCAGAGTATTTACAAGGAACATTAATAAAGCATTTAATAGAAGTTAACAATGACCCACTTCTTTGTTTAACTGATTGCACAAAAGCTTTCAATGGAATAAGAATAAACTGCAATGTTAAAATACTTGCAGACCTCAACATTGGTGGGGACCTGTAAAGAATATATACCACTAACACTGGCTGTCATCATGAAGAAGATCAATACAAGCACACAAAAAAGAGAGGTGAGACAAGGTGTGTGATGTCATCATTCTTTTAACCCTCAGTGTGGTAAATATTGTATGGGAATAAATAAAACAAAATTATGGGGATCACAGACAGTATAATGTCTCATAAACTAAAATACTTTGGTCACATTAAAATGTCATAATGATTCTGAGAGAACAATAATGGAAGGTATAGTCTCCTGGATTCTTCTTCTTTTTCATATTCACAGGCTGTAAACTCAGTCAAAATTTCTGGTTCTTCTGCCACTTCTGAACTTCAGTTTTATTCCAGAACTTCAGTGATCAGGCATATCCATTTTACAGATCTAACTTATTTGTATGCAAACCGTTGGTTCCTAGGCTCTCAGGCAGATGCACTACGACTTTGAAGGAAACCAGTAATTATTAGACTTTTACGACCTACTTGTTAGGGAGGGAGTTTTCCCAATAAAGGGGCCCCAGAATTCACAAAGGAAGTTGCTGGAATAACCCTCAACATATGGCTTCATATTTAAGTAAAAGCTAGGCCTGTTTACAGCTTTTAACATTAACTTAACAGCCAAACTTAGGTAGCCCCAAGAACACAAATGCATTAACCAGGTTGCCCCAACAATGCTAAAAAATGGGTCATGGCCCTACGAAAATTCCTAAAAAATCCTCCAACAAATGTTTTTTACACTGGTCACTAACTTACTAATATATTTTTTACAATTTATGTCTCTCAATTTAATAATTTTGTTCAAAATGTAAAAATGGAATAATCAATAAACATAAATCGAGTAAAGCATTAAATGGGAAAAAAAATAGGTTTTTGATGACTCATGTTGTGACTTTGACATCTATCACTGAGGCCATGGGACATATTTATATCAACTCTGCTATACAAAAGCCAAGAAAACACTCCTAAATTCTACGTTTAGTAAATATATTCATATCTGGGCCTCCAAAATGCTGTCTTGGCATAAAAAGAACCAATGAAATTAAATTATGCTTCTCTGAAACAGATAAACACAGATACGCCAGTTTTGCTGCCTTTAATTGGATGTGGCAACAACATAAATGCTGTGTTCGCTGCTTCCCAGGGTGACAGGTTGAAAATACCATAAAAATAGTAAAAACCTCATTACATGAAAATAAAAATAAAAAACATGCACTCTCTCCATAAGAAAATATGATAATATGAGTAATTAGAGAATATGTTTTTTGTGAATAAATGTAGACATGAGCAATGAAAAATCGATTTGATTGATTTGATTTGATTTGATTCATCACAGCACTCAGAGCATTCCCATAAGTGCTCCGTCCCCATCTTCAGCAGCCAGCGAAGAGTTCCGATACTAATGGTGCCAGTAGCTTTCTGATTAAACGTCCGTTTTACCTTTCCTCTGAGCCTTGAGCTTCTGCCAGAACCTCTCGTCACCCCCAACTGCATCAATCTCACCAGACTGTGGTGATCCATCTGCTCCTCCGTATTGTACACGCTCTCCCACAAGGCACTAACCACGTCTGCCCTATCATGTAGCATTATTCCACCAAGTTGTGCAGAGTCAGCCAGTCTGTCCGCCTCTTTATTTCCCAACACACCGGCGTCACCCGGTGAAAAAATCCAGACAATACTCCTCACTCGTGTCCTCCGCAGCGAAGCATGCCACTCTGCACAAAGCATACCTGTTCTGATCTTCCTCAGCATGCTTTCTGAATCAGTTACAATTACAATGTGGTGTGTGTCGTGTTCTCTAGCCAGCGGAAAGCTGCAGTGACCGCCTCCACCTCCATTCTTAAGCTGGAGGTTGTGGTATCATATGCTAGGCTCTCCTGCACCAAATGTCGACCATTAACTTTTTTCTAAAAAGCCCCAAGCACTTCTTTTGCCTCTTGACACTGAACCGTCAGTGTAAATGATCAAATCCTCTGAGCGAGCATTATCTTGAATTAATTGCTGAATTTCCACCTCTGTGGCACCTGCTGGCCAGTCTCTGCATTCCCGGCTCAGCGTGATTATGACTCTACACAAGTCTGACTGCTCAGGTGGCACTTTGACCCACTCCTCTCCTCGCCTAATGTTCTCAAGGATGCAAACCTGTCTGATTGTGTCTTCTGCCTGTGCTATCCATGACCTCCCTCTTATCAGCCGCTGACCCTTAACTGCACCCAGAGCTTCATGCAAAGGGTGGTCTGTGTCTGCAACTACCCTGAGATATGACTTCGCCTGCATCACCTTGTGCCTATCTGCAACCGTCAGCAAACCAAGGATGTATCGCATACACACCACTGGGGTGTCTTTGGTGCAACCCAGAATGACCCGCATAGCTGCGTTCTGTATGCGCTCTAGTTTGTCCATCTGACTCTTTGAGACGGTAAGCAGTCCCAGGCCATAATCCACCACTGACAGGATTAGGTGCTGATATAGTGTGAAAAGCATTCTCTGCTCTATGTCAATTGCAGCCATAGTCTTAAGTGCACTAAGTCCTTTTTGGCATCTCGTCACAACACTCTCCACATGGTCCTTAAAGGCTCCTGTTAAATGTGATTCCCAGATACCTCAGTTTGCTCTCTCTGTTGACGTCTCTACCATCTATCGTAAGACTTGGGACATTAGTTTTAATGATTCTGTTGTCCAGAGAACACCACAAAACAGACGCCTTTTCCGGGTGGACGACAGCCTTCCTTTCTGTACACCACTCAGTCACTTTGTCTACTGTCGCTTATAGCTCCCGAGCTGTTTGTTTCCTCTCTTTCCCCTGCCTATATGCAAGTATATCATCCGCAAAAGTCAGTATACTTCCAACTCCTGGTGCTTCTAGGCTTGCAATCTTGCTCGTATACACGTTGAAGAGCACAGGCGAGATGGCGGATCCCTGTGGTAGTCCTGGGGCCAAAGTGCATGGTTCAGAGGTCCATGAGCCCAGTCTGAGAGCAACCCGACGTGAATACAGGACAGCTGCAACCCAATTCACCAGCCATGGATTGACCTCCTTCTCCCTCAGTGCAGTCATTAAGATGTCGTATCTCACTCTGTTATAAGCATCCTCGAGATCCAGTCCTACCGCCATAGTTTCCTGTCTGTTCTGGAACACTTCATAGACGTCAAAAGCAAAAGTGGCCGCATTTGCCCAAGTGTCCTTTCCTGGCCTGTAACTTCCCAGACCTCTTGGGAGAAGCTTCCCCTTTTCCAAAAATTCTTGTAACTTTACAGCAACTATCTTCTCCAAGACCTTCCCAAATGTGTTCTGTAAGTTGATGATTCTAAAGCCACTAAGCTTAGAATGATCTTTAAAAGGTTTTGGTAGTGGGATTAGATTGTAAAATCGAAAAGTGAAGTAAAAATATGCAAATTTATCAGTAACATTTCTGGAACTATGTGCTTTGTCAAATGTAACTTGTTGTATCCTCACCAACACAACATAATGCTTCTCACGGAACAGTAAATTATGATAGTACCTTCCCATTACTACTATGTACTATCTTCGGTGGTTGTACTAAAATTGCTTCATTTCTGCTCCACAATCACAGGCAGCAGAGTCTTGTACAGGATAGGCATAAAAGAATCTGCTGCCTGTGATTGTGGAGCAGAAAGACAGACCCCTGGGCATGTACTACAATACTGCCCTTACCTCTCCCAGCAAAAACTGTGGATCCTGGCCCAAGGGAGCCACATTGCAAGAGAAGCTATGGGGGACCGGTGGCGGCCTCAAATGCACAATCCTATTTGTGACCCAGATGGGACTCAATGTTTAGCATGACTGATGTCGAACGCAGAAAAAGAAGAAGAAGAAGCTTCATTTAATGCTTATGTGGTTCCCCCTGCTCTCTCTGATTTTCTCTGTAAACATTCCAGTCCAAAGTATTCTAAATTTACCTTCAGCAAAGCATGAACACCTCTGATATTTTCCCAGCTGCAGTGTAGTTCACTGCAGAAACAATATTTGCCACTTTTAGGAGGTTTCGGGTCGCCAATGGGGGGGGGGGGGGGGGGGGGGGGGGGGGGGGGGGGGGGGGGGGGGGGGGTGGGGGGGGGGTGTTAGTGTCATGAGTCTGAAGATTTCAGACTGCCTGGCTAGTGCAGGTTAGGATTTGTTTTTCCTCCAATAGAAAATTCTGCATCTTTTATCATGTATTGAATTAGGTGTACTCCATTAAAGCCCTGCACTCTAACTACTTTACCATTTGCTCCTCTAATAACAATATAACAAAGATCATTACTAAAATTCAACAAATAAATCAGTGTTCTCCAACCTTGCTTCATGGTGCTTTTTCTGCCAATTAGCAAAATAGTCTTCATCTATATCTTTATAGGCCAGTACCAAAGTTCTCAGGCCAATCTGTGCAAAGTCCTTAAACAGAAGAAAAAAAACATTCATGAACAAAAATTCTCATATACTGGATTAATCAAACAGCAGAGGCAATGTATACTAACTGATACATATTTACCATAAAGGCCAGTCCAGAAAGTTTTAAGCCGCATAACTGGGAAAATGGAAAGAATTCAAATACATTACCACTCTGAATGACAGCACAAGTGTCTGATCTGTGTAGGGTCATGATCACATTGGGCCAGGAGTGCAGAGAGTGGCCAGCTGATGCTACGGAAGTGGAAGTCCAACAGTTAACTCGCTACAATTCATGCCCAGGTGATCTGATTATCTATACAGATGGTTTGGTGTTGAGAGGAAAGAGAAGTGCTCGGGGGTTTGTAGCGAAAGCCAATGGAAAATCTTTGGTGCAAGACAGCCTAGCATATGACATCATAACATCTAGCATGAGTATAGAAGTGGAGGCGGTAACTGCAGCTCTCCAGTGGCTAGAAAACAAGAAGCATACACATGTAATAATTGTAACAGACTCTGAAGGCATGCTGAAAAAAGGTGTAGACAAGGATGCTTTGAGCAGAGTGGCAAGCTTTCCTAGGAATGTCACAGGTAGTGAGCATACTTTGGAAATTTTTTCCAGGCTATGCGGCATAGTGGGTAATGAACAGGCAGACAGATTGGCTGGATCTGCACCACTGGGTGATGAACTGATACATGACAAGGCAGATGTGGTCAAGGCCCTTTGGGAAAAAGCAAGGGAATCAGTAGAGAAACAAAATTATTATGGCCTGGAGAGAATGAGGCACCTGAGTGTAACCAGAGCGTCTGGCCGGCTCACTACACTCAGAGGAAAGGCAAGAGGGACATATAACCAGATAATAATCAGTACCATTAGTAATTTTGACATTCTGGGTTTTTTTAGTATTAACCTATATATCTATATATCTGGGTGATGGAATCACACAAAGAGTAGCATGATCAATATACCACCAGCTGCTTTTCACTTTCCCACATTAATATCTGCTACCCACTTTATCAGAGAGCACCAACTTAGAGCATCAGTGGTTAAAATTTAAATAAACATCCTATCATTAATGCACAACTGAGTCCTTAACCTATAAATACCAGCCATTAAGCGGCAAAACAAAATTACACTGAGATATTGGAAAGTGCAGGCATCACAAAAATTTTCTCAATGCTCATTCTTCAAAGACTAGGATGGCTAGGACACACTTGCAGGATGAAGGATTGTAGAGTACCTAAAAGCAACATCTATGGTGAACTGCAGATGGACAGAAAATATCTATAGTTCGTTCAACAACAGATAAACACACATGCAAGCCATTTTTTTTAAAACTGCCTGTTAGATTGCAATGATTTTTTGCATGCAGCCTTCGAATATCAATGACGTTAAGAAAATATTTTTTCACTTTGGAAGAATATCATGTGTAGTATTTTTCTTCTTTACGATATATATTTTTATCATGAAACCGTCTAAGTAGACTTTTGGAAGGTTTACTTTCATTAGTTTCATAAAGTAATGAACACTATGACTGGTTTAACAGGGGGTTAAAGAAAACCTACTCAATTCCACTATTTTCTTGTATAAAGTTGCACTTTTAGTGACCGGAAGCCAAGATACAATGTCGGTCGCGGTTGTTTAGTCAAAGGCGCATCTACAAATTAGTGTTGAGTTACTGTGTCATACAGATAGTTTATAAAAGCTGATAACTTCAAAATAAATTTGAAATGCAAATTGATAACTATGCGGTCAGTTACCGCTTTACTGAACCAACACTTCCTCAGGAAATTTAATATGGTTAATTTATATTGTGATATTCATGACCCAAAGAAATGAACATGACTTGCGCTTGTCTGGATAGAGCATCATTTAGCTGTGGATTAGACAGGACACAAAATACGTTCATGTCAAGCAAGGAAGGAAAAGGAAAGTTGACGACATTAATGAAGATGTCATTAGACGTGAGATCTTAAAAATGTTAGAGACAAATCAACTTGTTACTCTCCGAAAACTGAAATTAACACTGAAATCACAATACAGTGTTGACATTTCAAAAAGTAGTCTGTGGAAAATTGTAAGAGTAACCAAGTTCACTATCAGGAAAACTAGGTGGAAGAAATTTTATTTGTGAAAAGCCACATTTGATTGTTAGTCGAAGCAAATACCTGAGGCAGATCCATGAGCGACAGATGCAAGGCTATGATATTGTATATTTGGATTAATCCTGGGTTAGTGCTCACCAGAGGTGGAGTCGAACACCTATTTGGGCAGTAATGTAGATAAAGGTGGAGGAACTGATAGAGATATTAAAATAAGAATACAAAAGGCAAGAGGGGCTTTCATAGCACTAGGGAATTTGTGTAGGTCAAAGGAAATTAAAAGAAATACTAAACTAAAATTTTTAATTCTAATGTCAAATCAGTACTGTTGTATGGGGCGGAAACATGGAGAACAACTAAGACAATTACTAATAAATTACAGACATTCGTTAACTGGTGCCTGCACAGAATAGAGGGAATTAAATGGTATGATAGAATAACTAATGTAGAGCTTTGGGAGAGAACTAAACAGGCTCCAGTGGACCAAGAGGTGAGGAAAAGATGCTGGCGTTGGTTAGGACACACACTGAGAAAACAAGATAACAGCATAACTAGAATGTCTTTGCATTCGAACCCACAGGAAATTAGGAATATAAAGGAAGGCCAAAAAACACATGGAGAAGAGAGCTGGAGAATGAAGTTAGACAGATGGGGAGGACATGGGGAGAGCTCCATGCAATGGGGAAGGATAGAACGAGTTGGTTGAGTTGGTTGACTGCCTATGCTCCATTGGGGGATAGAAAGGCAGAAGAAGAAAAAGTGCTCACCATACCTATGCTAAAGAATGGCAATCAATAAACGGTGAACAGAAAAGAAAATTCCAAACACCAAAGGCCAGTGCATTTTACTCACTTATGCAGGAAGCAATGAAAAACGCCTTATCCATGATGCTGGATGTATTTTCTAATCAAAAAGCATGGATGGTGGGGACTACCACGCTGAAATGAATGGACACACTTTCAGGCATTGGATAGAGAACGATATTCTTCCAATTCTGAACAGACCATCATGCTTAGTAATGGACAACGCCGCCTATTATAATACCGTATCAGAGGAAGACAAAGTACCAACGACATCAAATACAAAATATCAAATTAGGACATGGTTTGCTAAGGAGAAAGTCAACTTTGACAATACACATGTGAAGGCAGAGTTGTTGCAGCTTGCAAGGAAAACTAATAAGACAAAGGTTATCACATTGACAAAATCATTAATGAATACGACCACACTTCTCTGCGACTCCTTGCAAATCATTTTCACGTCAAACCGATAGAGCTTGTTTGGGCTAAAGTAAAATAAACAAGTTGGCGAAAAGAACAGTAAATTTAACTCTTTGAGGCCCGGGGGTTTAGCATCACAGGCCCAGGGGTAGTAAAGAAATTCATAAAATCGGCGCATTGTGCATTCATTGGGCTTCTAGGTGAAAACATGTGAACGAATGATGCATTCCTTGGGACTCAAAGAGTTAAAATGTGTGATGTTAAAGTTCTGGCTGCTGAAGATAGAGACGGAGCTCATGTGGGAATGTCCCGAGTGTTGTGATGACTTTCTTGACTCAGCTGAACATAAATGACAACAAATGAATTTACTTCACCTTTCAATGTATTATGAAGACACGCCTCTGAACAAAAAAATAGAAATGGAAATTCAGATGTTTACTGTAAAATCTAAAAGTTCACTCTACTTATTTGAAATAGTTCGAAAAGATCAAAGGAATTTGCTGATATTCAGCATCCTGAGCATTTATGGACTAAAGAATACCACTATTTTTGCAACATGGATATTCTAAGGCTGCATGCAAAAAATCATGATGATCTAACAGGCAGCTTTCAAGAAAATGACTTGCATGTGTGTTTATTTATTGTTGAACAAACTATAGGTCTGCCTCTACTATGATATAAAGATAGGTGAAGAAAAGGGTCAGAACAAGAATGTTAAATACATGCAATCACAACAATGATCTTAAAATTCCACGCTCTAATTGTGGAAGACTTTTATTAATGTTATAAGGTCTTCCTGGTCAGTCCCACTTAACTAACATCACCATGGGCTGTGATCCCCATAATTCTCTATAGCACAACATAACACTATCTTCTGAAAAGACTGGAAAGGCCCCCCACCTCCTCCATTTAAATCCTTGACTAAAGTTGCTTTAAAAAAAAAACTAATACACTAAATAGAGGGGAAAAAACTGACTCACATTCAGATGGTGTGTAGTCAGTTCTTTTAGTTCATCACAACTCCTGTCCAGTAGACCAAACATGATAGTATCAGCACCCTTACACAACAGCTGTAAATGGCCCTCTTTTCTGACTATCACCTGCAGGATGATAAATGATTTTAATATGAAGGCAAATTTGTATGTTCTTATCCTTACTCTATTTCAGGATGTAGTGACTATCACATTTATGACGCCATCATTCTGCCTGCTGCATCTTTGATGGGAATAACTAATTCTAAGTATGTAATCTAATTAGAAGTGAGCTTTCAGCTCTGTATTTTGGGAAGATGCCAGGGGCAGTAATTACAGCAAAAAGAGATTAGAAGCAGAGTTACACATCCACCTCCGGACCATGCAGATCAAGTCTGATTCACAGAGTCTGTCTTGATTTTTTACAATGACAAGGATGGTATACTCCCTCCTGATCCTAGTGCAATGGATCAGACATCTAAATTTCTTCAGACAACTGTATAATATGAAGGACCTGAGAGCACACTGTCCAGATTAAAAATCCATCTGCAGCTAAAAATGTAAAAGAACAGGTTGTTAAATTTTACAACCGCACATGTAATTCAAGTAGGCGTATATCTTGATACCGGTGGCATGAAGTTCATGCACTGGGTTGAGAATACATTGAAGTTATTTACAGAAAAAATTGAGAACTTTAAAAAAAAATTCCCTCTTCATGATTGTAGTCTGTGGGTTAACATCTCAAGAATGTGCTTCAAACAGATATTAAACCAGAAACCCTGAACACTGTAGAGCCATACAGCACAGTTATATTGAGAAATTACAAAACGGTTATGAAGTAACCTGTAGTCCAGTGTGGATGTGTCTGTTGGAGCATTTATGAAAGTAGGACTTATGTAGCACATTGACTAGCATGCTTGAATGACCTGGCAGTCTGAAATTCAAATTCTAACAATGCAGAGTTCTTTTTCCCTTTTTTTAACAAATCTAGGCTGCCATGTCACTCAGTCAACATGCATACAACAAGATTTATGGAAGTAAGTATCCAGTGTGATAGTGACAACATCTAAATGTCATTTGGTCCACACAAAACAGGTCTAAGGGCAGAGAACAGGGTTCTTTTTTTTTTAAATTTATGGAGCATCCTTGTGCAAAAGATACCACACAAAAACAATTGTTCACATTTAATTTTCACATTAGGGCTAAAACTTTAATGTAGAGGTGGCATTTGATTTAGTCAATTGACTTGTTTAACTTCTCCACACACACTCATCCTCCGAAGTGAGAACCATCACTTCTTTCTTTTCTCTTAATCTCCTTTTTCTTCTACAACTAAAGCTGCCTTATAATATTGGTAGTCCACTTTGAGACTGTTTTATACAATGTTTAAATTTTATGAAATACACACATATACACATATGGTAGCTCCTAGAGATGCAGTGTTCAGACAACTTCTGGCACTCTGCGGTCCCCTTCCCTCCCCACACCCTCAAGCATTTATCTATAGAAAATTTATTTTGAATATGAATAAATCCCTAGGCCAAGTCTCCTTCTAAATGACCAACACTGGTTCAAATGTCCACTGAAAAAAGATCTTACAAATGGTAACATCCTACTTGATAACACAAAATGTTAACACTGGCCACAGTCATCTTAGAGATAGGAACAACATAATATTCACATTTGGAGTGCATTTGTCAGAAAGGCAAGGATACAATAGATTGTACAAACAACTCAAGTCCTGGAACAAAGTCCAGAAATGGATGTACAATTAGGCTGTTCTGTCTAAGATTACAGCTGGTGAACGCAAACAAACATTTACAACAACAAAAAACACGAAAAAACTGCCTGTTAAAAAAAACACACAATGAAAACGTAAAGATGAATTCTTACGGACATTCTTTTCCTGACGTTGTTGAAGTCCAGAATACTTAACAATTCCCATGTTTCCTCTTGTCCATGGATGGAAATGGTGATTGTGCTTGGGGTTCTTGACTGATAACAAAAATGTGAGATGTCACTATATAAAAAATACCATGGGTGATAATAACATTTTTACTGCAACATACGACTTAATCTGAAAAGTCAGAATAATGCTACTACTAGTATTTTCTTGTCACTGCTTTTAACTCATAAAAAAAGCTAAAACTTAAAATACCAAGACCAAAATTCTTGTTGATTCACCATGCAGGCTAGGCTGTAAAGGTTTATTCACTATTATTAAAAAGTAAATAATTAATTAATCTTAATTTCTGACACACATCTTCCGTCTGATGTTATAATTGTACCCAGATATTTGAATCTATCGACTTGAGTTAAAATCAGACAGGCCAGGCTAAACATAGTCCTGTTTTGGTCACACAAAAAGATGGTACATCTAAGGTCACCGCAGATGCTCCATAGCATGCTTTGTAATGTAGCTGCACTGAGCCAGATCCCTGATCTTTGCCGTGAGTAATTAGGGCAATTTTGCAGACTTGCTCAGAGTCCGTCTGTCTGCTTGCTCTATATTCAAGTGTGGCAGATTCTTTAAAGCCTATCTTGTGTAGGTGTGCTATAAGACTGCAGTGTTATGCCCAAAGCCTGAAAATTACTATTTTTAGTTTATAAAAATATTGTGCACTGTGTATTCTTGATTGATGAGATGCTAGACTGCAGGGCTGTGCAGTCAAGAGAGAGTTTTTCTACTCTGCTCCTGGGGTATTTGATGTATATTCCAAAACTTCTAGTTTTGATTACATCTGCAGCAGAGACATCATAAAACCTGAGTCCAGTTGGTACTGGGACATTTCTCTTCAAGCATAGCAAGAGCAAGTGTGCTCTGTTGTATCTTCATCTGTGCATCTTTTGTAGTAATTCCTGGCATTTCTAGGATTACATACAGCTAGTCTGGATATCACCCCCATGGTCCTGGCCTAAGCTTTCACACACTGCAACATCTTTGTCCAACAGATTTTGGTGCTGTCTATTTAGTTCTCTAGCAAGTTGGTCTGATACTGTTTCTGTTCTCTCTTGAAATTAAGAACGCAGTGAGTGACTTTGTAGTATTTTCAAATGTTTTAGCTTTAGACCCTACTTTTCAGTCCAGCCTTCCACATTTATTTATACATACTTTTAAGAAATCTTCATGTGCTTCAAGAAAAATGCCATTATATATGTGTCTAATGGTTGTTAGTGTGTTTTGTGTTTGTGTGTGTTCATCTGTGATATACACAATCAAACAGAGGAAACAAGAAGCTTCCAGTAAAAAAAAAAATGTAAACAACATGTTTTTGAACAGGTCACCTTAAAAACAAATCCAAAATTCCTGGCTGCAGATACTAGCGCACCTTCATCTGGTGACTGAGCCTGATACTCCAGGTAGCCTGGTTTTTTAAAATAAAGACAATTATTTAGTATAACTTTACAAAACACGTAACAAAATGGTCAGGAAAAGGAGTTAAAATGGGACAGAGTGGGTGTAAAACATTATCTTTGAAAGAAGGGTTAAAGTAATAATGAGGACAATGAGATTCACCTTACAAATGGTTAAGATAGATACCTTGGTTATATTTCTTTGATAAAGGATCAGTTTCATTAAATACTGACATCTCCATGAATGTTCTGATCTTCTCCAATAGATTACACAAGACAAATGTCAACAGTGTGCATGGATCAATCAGTAAACTAGAATGGGAACAGGTAGCAACATGGCCACAATATTCACTCATCAATGATAGAGATAAAAAAATAAACCAGAAACGCAGAATTTAATTGAGACTCTGGAGATGTAATGAATGCAGAAAAATGGTTGTATCATAAAAACAAAGTCAGTCAAATAAAAAAGGTTTCGAGGAGACTGAGAATTAAAAGAGAAAATGCTGCTCCATTGAAAGCCACAATAAATTTATAAAACCTACGATGGATAGGAAAATTAAAGAACCAAGAGGAACATAGGTTGATAAAAACATGAGAGGCTAAGGGTGTTGGATTCAAGACAGTCAATCTGTATCGTGAATGTGACATCTGACTGAGTTCATGTAGTATCAGTGAGATGTATCTATTCCAAAACCATATAAATATATATATATAGATAGATAAAGACAGTCCAACCATTAAATAATGAGACTGATTTTATTTTGGCCGAGGCAAAAACTCCACGAAACAACAATATAGTCATCCCAACAGCTCCTCCCTCCCCCAAAGGTGCCAAACCACAAACTGATAAATACTGTTGGAAATTGCAAGGTGTGGGGAAGTATAATATGAACGTTGGCAGTTGTCAATGTATTTAATTTATTTGTAATGATGATAATAAAAGAGGATAACATTTTAAACAAATCTGTTCACTTTAGGAATAAATAGCAAACACATGTACTCTGAAGTTCGATGAGTGAGAAAAAGCAATTATGAGACTGTCCATCATGGCACAATGTTAGTTCTTAAACACAGCAATACTTAAAAATACAATTTAAGTGCTCAAATACTGTTTTTCAGAAAAGTACTGTAAAACTGCCCTGTTTAAATTCTGTGAAACAATATCTGAGGATATGATGTTAGGTTGATGTTTGGTTTAGGGAATCAAAAAAACACCTGAAATGAAATATAGTCAATATCAGTTGGCCACTTTTAGTCTCACAGATAAATCTGTTGTACACAGTTTATAAGGCTGATAGAGAAAAATGTATTTCCTCTCTAGTTAGTTAGTTAGTTAGTTAGTTAGTTAGTTAGTTGGGTTATCATCATTGCACTCCGGACATGTCCATAGGTGCTCAGATCCTCCTCTCAGTATGAACCCCAACGTCTGATGGCTAATAGTACCAGTTATATGTTGATTAACAAGTCTTCTGACGTGTCCGGTGTGCGTCTCGTTTTTTGCTGTGCCGATCTTAATTCCCAAGTCTGCCATTCTGGCGAGTGATGTGGATTCACTGCCACCAAAGTCCTCTATCCTTCCCATTTCTCTGAGGGCATTGATAATATCAGCATGATCCATAGGCCGACCGTCGGTAGTGATAGTGGATCCAGCCAACCTGTCAGCTCTTTCATTTCCATCGACGCCTGCGTGTATTTCCTCTCTAATGATCACACAACCAAGTAGTAAAACAAAATACACTAAAAATGCTCTACCACACTTTATCATATTTAGCACTGCATCAAAAATAAAACAAATACACAGTGTATAATATCTGAAGTCCTACCATCCTCTTTGATCTCTGGCATCACTGTATGACACAAGGCCAGAAGTCTGAAAAACAGGTTAGTCATCTCACTGTTGCGTTTCACCTCATCAACTAACTTTTGGTCATAGAAGTCAAATCCTTTCTCAGCATATGGGTTCCAGGAGAAGTCCACTTTTGGAGTTTTCTGTTCATTGAGGGCAAAGATAAAAATTACATCTTTAAATAGTGAATCAGTTTGTGAAAATCAAGCAGCTAAAAACATAAAATGTTATAATATTAATCACCATCATCCATTGTCAAAAACTATTCTCCTAAATACAACTGCAGGTAAGTGTTGAAAAGGAAGGAACAAAAATCCTATGCAGGTAACATTAAATAATGAACAGACTACAGAACTATCCAACTCTATATACAAGGGTGGCCTCAAATGAAAACCTTAAAAGGGTGATAGAAATTAAATAACCATGCCACTGACTTGTAACCTTTCAATACTCTTGTTAAGGAAGTCAAGAGTGTTAAGCTCATGACATCACACAAATACAGTCGTCAGAATGGAAGTTTCAAGTTTCAAAATGGCCACCTCGCTTTTCACATGCACCAAAGATTAGCAGTGTTCTACTATCCGCTTTTGAGTGAAAGTTATAGAAATTCACTGGCAAATGAAGGTCCTCTGTAGCAATGCATGCCTGTCAGTCCAGAAAGCTTTTGAGTGGGGTAGGAAGTTTCAAAACAGTGTGACATATGTAACAGACTGATCATACTTGACATGAACAGTCAGACAGATGTTACATGGTTTTGAAACTTCCTATAAAGAGTGTCTCTGCACAAGGCATGAACTTCATACTACTGGGAAAGAATCCAGAACTCAGCATGCCAAATGGTGCGGGATACATTCATTCTGATTAAATATTTTTTCTTAATCTTGAAATTTCACCTCAGCATAGTCTAACTGGGGGCGAGGGGTCTAAGTGGTCTTGAGGTATGGCATCCGCATCAATTACTGGAGGTTGAAACCACGGTGAAGGCTTGGATTTTTTCATGTGGACTTCTAGTAATTGCCCTTGGCCTCTGGGTAGTAAGATCGGACATCGGTGGGTAATGTTGCGCACGTAAAAAAAATCCCTTGGCAATTGGAAATAGAAAAAGAGTAGCCTAATGGCGCTTCCTGTGCAAAACCTGGAGTTAAAAATCTACCCAAAGTATTTCGAGATCCTTGCCGGTGCAAAAAAGTTTGTGCACTGCACTGAGATTGTTCACATTCAGGCTTGAGTTAAAAGTAGAACAGAACACTTATAGGTTATGCCCATGTGCTATGATGTTGATACATTAAAACAAGAAACCACTTCATTGCATTTGGTTTTACCCCATATGGCTTGATCCCTCTTTGTACAATGGTTGGCCACCTGTCAAGAATGATGCACAAAGCCCAATCTCCGTGGCTTACCAAATTAGCTCCTGTATGTTCTGCCTTTACTGTATAGTTTTAACTTGTTTGTAAATATTTGAATGGGCCAAAGTATTGCACATTTGTCACCGGGACCCTGCACCTTACCAGGCATGTCGTAAGAGGCGACAAGGGTAGGGTTGGCTACCTCATCCTGTAAAAACAATAGCCACAAAATCAACCATGGAAAATTCAAAAGAGAAACAAGAAAAACCCAGCCAATCAAGATGAGGGGAGGCTCTTCTAGTATTAGAAGTATGACACAGTGCAGAGACAGCTGAAATGAGTCGAGATCATCGACGTAATTCCTTTCACCTATGATAATCTCCACAACTGGTACCTGGAATATTAAAATTTTGTACAATGTAGGAAGAACAACAGAAGTATTAAGGGAAATAAAACAGCTGATTAGTATTTTAGGATTATGTGAAACTAGATGGACCAGGGCAGAGAAAAGTATTAAAAATTCAGGGGAAACTATTTTGTTCTCAGGATATACAGAGGAAAATTCTCCCCCACAGTGAAGAAGTGGCCCTGATGCCATCGAAAGAAACAAAGAGAGCACTAAAAGAATGGAAAGCTGTGAAACCTAGAATAATAAGAACATCGTTTAGAACAGCCAAACAAAAGGTGAACATATCAGTAATACATTGTTATGCACCAACAAATAATAAGGATGCATCAGTTAAGCAGGAATTTTACATGCAACTTAAAAATATTATAAATAATGAGAGAAAGAGCTATATAAAAATGTTGATGGGTGACCTGAATGCTAAGATAGGCTCAGATAACACACGTTTTGAAGAGACACATGGAACACATAGACCAGTATATTATCGTAGAAAGCATTTTCCCACATAAAATAATACATAGGAGAACGTGGAAGTCACCAGACCATAAGATAACCAATTGATCACATATGTATAAAATACAAATTTAAATCACCCCTTTATGATTATAGGGTTTTTCGAGATGTCAATGCATTTACTGACCATCTTCTGTTGATAAGTAAAATCAAGTTGAAATTTAAAAGATATATAACGTCTTATGATCATAGAAACCAGTATAATGTAGGATATCTCAGGGATAAAGTAGTTGAAAAAAAAGATTAACAATTATAGTCTCTAATAAGTACCAGGTGTTGCAACAGTAAGCTGAAGAGGTAAGCACTAAAGTCTGCTGGGATCAGATAAAGGGAATTTTGAACTAATCTTGTGTAGAAGTCCTTGGTAAGAAAGAATGGAAACATGAAGAAAAGATAACACCAGAAACCATTAAAATGATTGAAGAATGAAAAAGTAAAAAGGTAGACTTAAACAGTAGGAAAACTAGAGCTGCAAAAGCAAGAGCTCAGAAAAAATACATAGAAGCTAATAAGACAGTTAGGAGGCCAATAAGGGTAGATAAAAGTAAATATTTAGATGACTTAGCACAAGAAGCAGTGACAGCAGCAATAAAAGGAAACCTCAGAGACCTTATCAGTAACACAAGAAAATTAGTAGGTAAATATAGTCAGCCAACTGGGTCAAACAATAATAGTCAATGAAAGGTACACACCAACACTAAAGATCAAATGGACAGATGGACTGAATATTTTGAAATACTTTGAACAGAATTCCCCCAGAGGTTCTTCCAAATATCCAGCCTTAAATATGGGGCTAGATATCAACTGTGAGATACCATCCAAAGAGAAATTAGGAAAGCTATCACTCTTCGGAATACAGAAAAAGCAGAAGGCCCAGATGGTATTCGAGCAGAAGTTATTTAGGCCAATATAAACCCATCAACAGAATTGCTACACAGATTATTTAGTAAAGTCTGGGAAACTGAAGAAATACTAGCAGATTGCAAAGGATATCTTGTGAAACTGCCCCAGAAAAGGTGATCTATATGAGTATGAAAACTACAGAGGTAGTTGCTGTCAGTTCCTGGAAAAATATTAATTAGGATTATTTTATTTTTAGTCTTTAATTAAGACTAAAAGATGCTATTGATAAAAAGCTAAAAGATGAACAGGCAGGTTTTCGGCCAAATAGATCCTGTATTGACCAAAACAATTGATGAACAGTGGGATATGTTGCGTGAGTCAATTCAGCAGACATCAAAAGAGACAATCCCACCAACCCATACAGTTGCAAAAAAGGAAATGGATGTCAACCGAAATTCTGCAGTTGATGGATGAAAGAAGGAAGAAAAAGAATGATAAAGAAGAATACTCTAGAATACAAAAAGAAATAGTGAACAAATGCAAAGTGGCTAAAGAAGCCTGGCTGAATCAAATGTGTACAGAGATTGGGGAAAATCACGGGAAAGACTCACATTCCATGTACCAACAGATAAATATGTTAACAGGAAAGATGACACGTAACAGCACTGGATGTTTGATTTCAAAGGATGGTGACTTATTAATGGGACATAGTAATATAATTAACAGATGGACAGAGTATATAGGGGAATTGTATGATGATAATAGACCAGACGTAGAACTGCAGAACAACAATGATGGTCCACCAATAATGACTGCAGAAGTTGAGGATGCAATACATCATATGAAGAAAGGAAAAGCACCCGGGCCAGACAACATCTCACTGGAAGAAATCAAAGCACTGGGAAATTTTGGAATTGAAATAATAACTAAACTTTTAAAGGATATTTATAACAGTGGGTATATTCCAAATGACCTTTTAAAATCCATATTTATAGCTCTGCCGAAGAAACCAGGCACTTTAAAATGTGAAGACCATCGCACAATAAGTCTTATGAGTCACATGACTAAGATTTTACTGAGAATAATTATGAGAAGAATAAGAAACAAAATTAAACCAGAAATCAGCGATGAACAATGTGGATTTGTAGAAGGAAAAGGTACAAACAATGCCATATACATCCTAAGGACATTGTCAGAAAGAGCTATAGAAGTAAAGACTGATTTGTACTTATGCTTCATAGACTATACAAAAGCATTTGACTGTGTGAAGCATGAAGAAGTAATCAAACTGTTAGAAAAATTCAACATTGATGGGAAAGATCTAAGAATAATAAAGAATATGTATTGGCAGCAAACAGCAGCTATAAGAATTAACAACTGTTTAGGTACATTTCAAAGCATAAAGAGGGGCGTACGACAAGGATGTGTACTTTCACCTGATTTGTTTTCAATATACAGTGAATATATTATGAGATCTTTAATTGATATGCCCGGAATCGTGGTTGGTGGGCACAAATATAAACAATTTACGTTATGCTGATGACACAGTCTTGATAGCAACAAGTCAGAAAGAATTACAGGAAATGATAGACATTGTGGTGTTAGAAAGTGGAAGAATGGGCCTCAGTTTGAATAATGGGAAGACAGAAGTAATGGTGGTATCAAAGAAACAAATTATTCCTAAATGTGTAATAAAAGTCAATGGTGTTATTTTAAGACAAGTACAGAAATTTAAGTATCTGGGCACATGGATAACATCAGATGGAAGATGCATAACTGAAATAAGAAACAGAATTGGACAGGCAAAAACTGCATTTTATAAAATGAAAAACATCTTGTGCAATATATCCTTGTCATTGAGAGTTAGAAAAAGAATTCTTGCTTGCTACATACATCCAGTTTTAACATATGGATGTGAATCCTGGACAATCGGTAGGCAGGCCAAACAATTTTTGGAGGCCTCAGAGATGTGGTTTTACAGAAGAATGCTTAGAATACCTTGGACAGCCAAAAAGAGCAACCAAGAGGTTTTAAAAGAGGCGGGAGACCGAAGACAACTTATCACTGACATCAAAAGGAGACAGTCATCATTTTTCGGCCATGTTATGAGAAGAGGGAAAATAGAACATGTTGTGACCACTGGAAAGATCTGTGGAAGGAGGGATAGAGGAAGACAACGAGAGAAGATGCTTGACAGTCTTGTTGCATGGCATGGAGGTGTGTCGGCACACGAACTGATACATGCTGCAGGAGATCGCGGATTATGGAGAGGCATGATCGCCCACGCCAGTCGGCAAGGCACCTGATGATGATGATGATGATGATTGACCAAAAAAGCCACATTATTATATAATAATAGAGTAAAGCATTGAACTGAATTCAACTTTACATTGCATTCATAGACTATGAAAAAGGCTTTTGACACACTGATAGGGAATATTTCTAGAAATTAATGGGGCACTGTGGAATCCCACACAGAAAATTATTAACAGTAAAGGCAATATATAAAGATATGAAATGTTGACTTTTTCCTGAGGGAAAGCTAACAGATTCATTTAAAATAAAAAAAAGTGTGTGATAGGGATGTCTTCTGTCACCTCTTCTATTTTTATCGGATATACATTTCTACTCAGCTGTGGAGTATCTGCGCTTCATGGGTGAGTATGTACTATTTGTGTGTTGCTAATATGTTACTTGTTACAATATTAGTAGCTTAGTATGCATTTAAACTTAATGACCAAATATTACTAGTCAATGTGGCCACGTTTGGTGGAATTCAGTCTGAATTTTATAGTGATCAGATACAAATTGCTCAAAATGAGATCATCAACAACTGTTAATTATGACAGATACATTAAAAAATGCTACAGTGGTTGTAGATTTGAAAAATATAAATCATACAACAGCAGTAGTATAGTAGGCATTTAAACTTACATATCAAATATTACCAGTCAATGTGGCCATGTTCAGTGAAATTCATGATATGGGTTTGGTAGTGATTCGATAAACATTTTTCAAACTGGTATATCAACTGAAAATTATGATAGATGGATAAAAAAAAAATATGCTTAAGTGATTGCAGATTTTTTAAATATAGATAAAATAATGGTTATCACCCTGGTATAATTTATCAGAAATTGCACTAATCTCACTAAACTTTTCGTTTCAGCAAACTGTGAATAGGCAGCTTACAAACGCAAGCCAAAAATGGAAAAACGTGGTTACACAGCTAGATATCAGTTAAAGAACTACTAAATGTATGGAGATTTAAATCACAGTAATGTGTACTAAATAATTAATATACAATGGTGTCAGTTTTCAGATATTTTGTTTAAACGATAGCAATACATTCGTGTGTGTGCATATTGGAAAAAGCAAATTTAATGGTTGTTTAGCGTTCCATGGCATCCATATTGCTATTTCTAGTGGCAAGGAACTTTTAACTAGTGCAATATGTACAAATATATTTATCACTTCTCTGAGAAACTTAGCGTTTAATCCATACTCACGGATCAGGTTCCATAACTTGCTGCAATAATTATCAACAGTTTGGACTACTCATTATGTCTACATTTATAAAAGTGTGTAGTTCGCAGATTAATATTATTGCAGCTGACATTGCCAGTTGATGACAATAATACTTAACCCTTTCATCCCGTAAAAATCTTTAAAAAAAATACCTAACAATTTTGTTAAAAAGAAATGCATTGTTATAATTCTATGAAGCTCTACGCTGAGAAACTAGAGGAAGAGAAGAAGCAGTCAAATACAGTTAGCCACACACATAAATGTATACACAGTAATCAATGTATACACATACACAGCAATCGATGTATACACAGTAATCGATGTATACACAGTAACCAATGTATACATAGTAATCTATGCAAACACAGCAATCGATGTATATGCAGTAATTGATGTATACACAGTAATCGATGTTTACTCAGTAATCGATGTATACACAGCAATCGATGTATACACAGTAATCGATGTATACACGGTAATCAATGTATACACAGTAATCAATGTATACACAGTAATCGATGTATACACAGTAATCGTCCAGCAGTGAGTATTGACAGGTACAATATTTGCAGTCTATGTATACATTATGGTAGCAATGTGTTGCACTGAATTTTTAAAATAACAACCTATAAAAACATTTTGACAGCAAATTTACTGAGACACAAAGAGATGCATATGTTACATGTGATGTATAAAGTTACTACAGGTGCTCAAAGTGATTCCCATTAACCTCCAGACACTTTTCATACTATAAATCAACATAAAGCTACCTTAATTCGATATACAGTAAAACCTCGCTTAACGAGCACCTCTCATAACGAGTAATTCGCATAACGAGCAAAACAAATTGTAAAAAAATGACTTGCTTAACGAGCTACATTTTGCATAATGAGTGGCGAGGAGATGGGAAGTCCCGGATTGTGCGCATGTTATATCAGTCTGTGTTTAGCACTCGTTCCAGTAGCATCGTAGTGTCGCTTGTGATCTCACATTTTCTCAAATGTGCTATATTGTGATTTATGTACTTGAATCCTCCAGCGAAGAATTTAAGTTCATCAAGATCCAGTTTCAGCCTTCTAACACCACTGCGTTACTCCAGCTCGTGGACCAGCAAGTTATTTCTAACTTTAAGAAGCTCTACACTAAAGCACTCTTTAAGCATTGTTTTCAGGTGACTGAAGGGACCAACCTCACTCTAAGAGTTTTGGAAAAATCACTTCCACATCATTTCCTGCCTCAAGATAATCGACAAGGAGGGGAAAGGGGTTACCAAGAGAACCCTAACTTCTGCTTGGAAGCAGCTTTGGCCGGAGAGCTTTGTCGATTTTTGACTTAGAGTGGTTCAAGACAGTACCTGTTGAACCTGTAGTCAACGAGATTGTGTCTTTGGCCACTATCATGGGACTGTAGGTGGATAACAGTGATATCGAAGAGCTTGTGGAAGAGCTTATGGAGTTGTATTGTGTTTCACAGCAAGAAGTTTTGGAGGAGAGTTTGTCAGAGGAGGAGAAATAAGAGAAATGCTGAAAGCCTGGGAAACTGTTGCATCTTACCTTGAGAAGCATTACCCTAATAAGGAAGTGACTATGCGCGCTGAAAATTTATATAATGATAATGCTGTGTCGCATTTTCGCCAAATTTTGAAGCATCCCCAAAAACAAATGTCTCTGGACATCTTTTAATTAGAAAAATAATTAGCTATGTATCATAATTATTTCGACTTTTTTTTTCTTTTTGCAAATCAAATTCACATTCCAGGTGGGTTCGTTCCGCGTTTGAAGAAAGAGTGAACATGATTCACTCTCCTTACCAATATGTATATAATTTTCTTTGAATAAAAATTATACCTAGCATTTTGTGAGTATTTTTTTCGACATGGAATGCATTATTGTTTTTTACATTAATTTATGTGAGAAAAATTGTTTTGCATAACAAGTGTTTCGCTTAACGAGTATGGTTCTGGAACGAATTATGCTCGTTAAGCGAGGTTCCACTGTAGATATAGTGGAATATGTCAGAAAATGATAAAGTTTTTAAACAAATAGCCTCTATGAAAATGTTTAACAACTGGGTGATTACTGTGTATACATTTTTTTGGTTAACTCTGTAGTACAGTCAAGAAACCAGATTGTTTATTTTTTCAAAAATGACCTTGGTTCCAAGATTGATCCAGAACAACAAGTGTACCAGGTTAGCACTATTTATCCATTACACCTAAGGACCTGAAAAAGGGCTCTTTTTTTTTTTGCAGACACAAAGTCTTATAGTATCCAGCCTTAAAGTGTTACTTCAACAGTAAACAAGTGTTACATTCAAAACTAAACTAGCTTTCTAACCTCTGTTATTTCTACAGCATTCCCCTCATTGTCCACAGGGTCACCATAAGACTTTCCATTTATTGAACACTTGTTGAAGGTCATAATATTCTGCCAGACAGATCAGGATTATATATATATATATCTGTATGTGTGTGTGCGTGTGTGTGTGTGTGTGCGTGTGTGCGTGCAAGTAAATGTTTTGTATGTATAGTGTGTGCACATCCGTGCATGTGTGTGTGAATGCACATGTGAGTATGAGGGCAAAGGCAAAAAGTACAGAATAATATGAAATATAAAAGCAATAACATTTTTGCGCTAAAAATTAGAGGACTATTTTAATGCCTATTTCTGAGACACAAAAGATATAACTGGTTAATCATATTTCCAACTTCATAGCAAATAAATTAAACCATTGCTGCTCCCTTCCTCAAGCCAACTGTAGCTAGAAAAAAACACTTTTTAAAATTAAAACAGTGCACCCTACCTATTCACCATATTGGACAGGAATATGCTGTGACAACTGAATATTTACATTTTAAAAAATCTGCTTTTCTTTGTACAGAGAAAATAATCTCTTAGCTCTATTCAGGAGAAATCTAACAGCTTCTCTTACACTTTTGAAAATGTTTTTATTCGAGGCCCATTTTAAACAAAAAAAAATTGTTCATCATTGCTGCTGCTAAATTAACAGGTGCTTAGGTATGTGCCATAATAATGTTTAAAAATTATATCTGCAAATATGTCTAAATCCCCCCCCCCCCCCCCTTTTCCCCTCATTATTTTTACATTACCTATGTTTCGAGAAGCCCTGATCAATACATAATACAAATTTGAGGTTAACTGCACACATAAAATGTACTATTGTCTTTATGCAGATAATCATACTGTTATCTGTACATTTACTATGATGCAAGTAGTGATGTGTTAGGCTTTCAAAGATATTAACGAAGCCACAGTTTAATCAGGGGACTAGCTCCTTTGCCTACCACTCAAAATTCTACAGTACAAACTACATGAGATAGAGTCAAGCTCCGTGCAAAACTGAAAGAGGTTAAGTGAAGTCTTGTCCATAAGGTTAGTAAACCTGGAGTAAGTGTGATATTTTAGATGGCCAGTACCATTTTTTTTATGTCTGTATCAATGCAAAAAAACTGACTTATTAAAACAAGCACAAAACAATTGTTTACTGAGCAAAACCATATGCATATGAATGAGTCAAAGTGCTTCTCTGGTAATAAAACTCTACAGTTTAGGGCTATTTTAATATTTTTCAATTTTACTGTGCTTTGTTGGTTACTAAAAAACTGTTAAGCCATTTGCTAATGTTATGAAGGTCGTGGGTTTGATTCAGAGACTGTCTGTCATCTGGTCATAGAGATCTTGGAGATCTTCAAGGAGCTACAAAGTTTGAGCTTTATGTAACATTATCAGCAGGGGGGACAGCCATTCTGTGGAGAGAGGCCATGAGGTCAATCCTCTCGACTTTAAACCTTTCCTGGATATCAGGAATGTTTTCTACAATCTTAATGCTGTGAATCTGAATGTATTATATGAGTTATGAATTGGACTATCTTTACAGCACTCCGGACACATCAATAAGTGCTCAGATTCCCATCTCAACATATTCATCAGCATTGTGTGGTTAATAGTGCCAGTCCTATGCTGGTTGACAAGACTTTGTGTGCATCCGGCGCGCTTCTCATGCTTGGCTGTGCCGATCTTTACTCCCAATTCTCGTATTCTTAGTAGTGATATGGACACGTTGCTTCCAAAATCCTCGGAATGTCCTATCTCTCTAAGGGCATTGATAATGTCTGCGTGGTCCATGGGCCAGCCATCTTCAATTAATACGGCACCTGCCAGTCTATCAGCTCTTTCATTACCAACACCTGCATACCCAGGGACAAATATGATGATAACTATAAAACAGGAGAGTTTTGCAACAACTCAATCCACTGTATGTGTAACCAGCTTGCCTCGACCCACCGGATCACGCTCAAAAATCCCTCAGCACACATACGTGGGGACAGTCCTGTGATTCTAGCCCCAAAAGAGCTTGAGTCACCTCCATTGTCATGGTGCTGCTGGTCATGGAGAAGGCACCGCTGACTTCTTGAACTGTTCTGCTTGAAGAGTGAGCTGTAAATGCCCATGCACTCTTATGTCCTCATATAACTGACCTGTCTGTGAAGATCACGAATGTATTATATGCTATTACTATCTCAAGTAAAGAACCTGTCTTGATTTGTCCTTTCACCGATTCTTCTTCTTCTTTGTTCACCAGCTGTAAGCTCCTAAAGAAATCATGGTTGTTCATCCATTTGGACTTTGGCTTTATTCAAAGGCCTGAGTTTTGCATGTAGATTTACTAGCATATATGTGTGCATTTGGTTGTTCACTCTTTAAAGAAAGCCTCCAATTAGTCAACTCTTAGGACATACTTATTAAGGAAGCAATGGGTCTATGCTTGTTTTTATCAATAATGAGGCATTGAAAACTACACTGGGCCTTTCTCTGATTCTATAAAATTGGTTTGTTATAAACTGCTTTCTTTGAAGATTACTAAGCCACTGATACATGTGGTAGTCTTTCAATCTTCTAAATGTATGTCTGTTGCTGACATTGTTATCTGTTACTCTCCACTCGTTATATGATGTATCATAATTTCTTCAGTTAAAATTATTTGCATTCCCATATTCTATATATCGACAGTCTAACTTTGTTGTTACGACATTAATGTAGTTGTGCTCACATAAAATTCCATCAGCAAAGTTGTAACTTTTTCCTGGTCATCACTGTCATATGATATGCCAATACATTTTGCACTCTCACATGATTACCAGTGTCAGATCAAGTTTATGTGCTTGTTCCTTTGCCTCCCTCTTGCTCTTTCTCCATAAAGTTTGCTAGCTGTCACTAAGTTTATTTCTTCTCATAACATTCCCCAAAAATCTGTAGTGTCAATGAATAATTTCTTTAATCTAGTTTTCATTGTTTTCTTTCAGTATTACCTGAGAAAGCGTATTTCTGTTGCTTCTATGTATTTCTCAGTTTGTTAGTTTTTTGGGTCAATGTTTCCTGAGTGTAAAACACAGCAAATTCTATATAGCTCCTTAACACTCTTGTTTTCAATGCAACTGATAACTTTTTTATTGATATGTTTTTCATCTTTCAAAAGATTATTTTTTCACTCTTGTTTTCAATGCAACTGATAACTTTTTTATTGATATGTTTTTCATCTTTCAAAAGATTAATTGTTCCACTGTTGTCCAAGTCTCTACCAGCCATCTTCTACAAGCTAAGACTGTTCCAAGATACATTAACTAATCAACAAATTGATAATTTTCTGTTTGCTCGCACCTACCACTAGTATATTTTTTTCTTTTTTGGAGAGATGCAGTGCTTGCTACTCTGCACAAAATATACCTGCCTCCACATTTTTCAGCATACTGTATAAGTCCGTTACGATCATGATGTTTGTACAGCTGCTTTTCAAGCTAGCAGAAAGCTGCATTAACTGCCTCCACCATTTTAAACTAGATGTCGTGTCCCTGGTGCTTCAAGTCCTGCAATATTACTTTATACACAATGAAGAGTACAGGTGAAATTGTAGATCTCTATAGTAGTTCTGGAGCTATCTTATAGGGCTATGAGATCTAAATACCCAGAACAAATGGCCATCCTTTGATATGCATTTTCCTGCTCAAAGTGTATTTAATACCTTGTGTCAACCCTTGCATCTTCCTACAGGAAAAATGTATTGTATAAATGCCTTCGAACAAAGAAACAATTTTAATTATAAGATGCTCCACTTATTAAAGCATCTGAGACAACATATTGTTTTTTTAATTTTTTTTATGAGGCACATTTATCTGATGTTCAGAAACAGTTATTCTTCTTGATTTCTTGGTATTCAAGGGAAATTTTGCAACAGTTCAAAATATCAATTTTCTTCTTTAGTAATTGTGAGATTACTTAAATTACAAAAATTTCCATGGTTTATATCCCTATGATGCTGAAGAAAGATGTATGTTTTTAAACAGATATCTCTATTTTTCAACCATCAGTGCTACGACTTGAGCTGTCATGATGTAGATCTGCCTATCCAGGCATGCAAAGACTTCTGTCAGCAACATGCGTGGAGGAAACCACATTTGGTTCAAAGGGCAGGACGGTGACACTAGCAAAGCGCTGTGGAGTGCAAAGAGCATGGCGAGGAACGTAGAATGCCCTGGTCATCTACATTTCAACTGATTGCATCAGAGCAACACTGAAGACCTGTCCAGACACAGCTTCAGGGCCTGATGGCATTAAACACAGCGACTTCAAAAGCCTCCAGGAGACAGATACGGATGAACTATCAACGATATTGAACAATACCATGAAAACTGGCACTGTCCGTGATGACCGGCTCCACAGCTACCTCAGACCCGTTCCTAAGCCAGGGAAAGACCACACGAGAATAAATGGCTACAGAATCATCACACTCCAGAACATTATTGGAAAACCCATGGAAAAAATTGTGGCTAGAACGCTGACCCAAACATTGGAGTCAGGTGATCTATTCCCCGCTACACTAGGTGGTTACCGACCGGGAAGAGATACATGGTGCAATGCTGAGGGTTTCCAGGAGAGAATGGAAACGGCTGCAGCCGCTATTGACTTAGAAGATGCGTACAACAGCGTCCCATACACCATAATCATCAGACTGCTGTTGGATATGCAGATAGAAACAAAAGTGGTCAACTGGATTGCTGCAGCGCTATTCGAAAGAACAGTGTCGCTTTGATGTGGTGAATGGGCATCCGAACCTCACCGCGTCCTAATGGGTCTGCCACAGAGATCACCACTGTCGCCTGTGCTCTTCAATGTGTACACAGCAGGAGTCACGAGTGCACAAAGCATAGGCCTAGGCAGAACAATGTTGTATGCAGATGATATCCTTGTTTACCGTCAAGGTAAAAACAGGCAGGAAATTACAACCACACTACAACACGAACGAGACAGACTTAGTGAGTGGTGCCAGGAATCAAGAGCTCAGGTGAACCCGTCCAAAGCCTCCTTAATATTGTTCTCTCTGAATACCCACATCGTCAGTACACCAATGCCAGTCGTAAGCATATGTGGTGTGGACATCGAGAGAACGGACACCATGAAATATCTGGGCAGGATATTTGACAGATGCTTGTCATACAAATACCATGTAGACAAGGTCATACTTAGAGCCAGGAAAGGTCTGACAGCACTCAAGGTGTTAGCAGCAGCTGATATTGAACAACGCCAACTTTTCCTTCTCTATCAAGGGCTTGTATTAAGCGTCACTGACTATGGTCTTGGCCTCCTCACTGTCAGCAAAACCCAGATAGAAAGACTAGACCGAATACAAAATGAGGCCATGAGACTCATATTCGGATGCACAAAAGATACCTCCTGCAACGCCATGCATTATGTCCTGGGTTTGCCGACGATGACTAGCAGATACAAAGTGGCAAAGGTCAAGGCGTACATGAGGGTATCAGCAGACGTTAACCACCCACTGCACAAAGCTTGCTGGTGGACGTAATGTCCTAAGCCCCTTCCCCAGCTAATAGTGAGGGTACTGCTGGGGTGACCGTTTATTAACCCTCAAATAATGCTTCAGGTCAAAATAGACGCTAGGCACGGCCACTTTTCGTAGCCGTGGCAAATTTTTTTTTTCTTTTGCTTTTGCCAGACGGTGGCCCTTGCATTTTTGCTCCATTTGTAGACTGGAAGGATATAGTTTTTTTGCCCAGCTTCTGAGTTGAGTGCATGGTGTAACACTGTGAGCTGCGGATTTCATTTGAACTGTGATAAACATTTTATGTGTTTTTCGTTGGCACAGGAGCGGAGCAACTATGGGGCGACCTGTTTGCTATGAAGCTGAAACTAAGATTACCAGATTACCAGATTAACTACACTGCTGTACATATATGAAACATGGACTGATTACCAGCGCCAGGAGAGAACGTTGAACCACTTTCACACAGTCTGCCTTAGAAAATTAATGCAGATCAGATGGCAAGATAAAGTACCTAATACCGCAGTCCTTGAGAAAGCAGCCATGCCCAGCATCGACACTCTATTGATGCAGTATCAAATTCGTTGGGCTGGTCATGTGGCATACATGCCAGATCACAGGCCTCCAAAAAAACTCTCCTCCTCTGAGTGACATTGCCACAGTAAAATAATAAGTCAATACAAATGCAACATGTGTGGTCATACTGTGAAGTTGTAAATAACTAGAACATCTATCAATACCTGGGTCAGTGTTCCTGTCTTGTCAGAAAATATGTACTCTATCTGCCCTAGTTCCTCATTTAATGTGGTTGTGCGTGCTTTAGCAGGAGTATCCTTTTTTGCATAGTACATTTTCACATCCCAGTTAATCCACAAACTGTGTGCAAGTCGGATAATTTCCACACTGGAAGAAAACAATTTCACATTCTCTGAACAATTAAAAAAAAATAAAGTTACATGGTAACTCTTAAATTTAAGTACAAAAATAATACCTGAATGTGACTATATCTGGTTAACTCATAATAATAAGAAAACTCTATTTTGACATGGTAATTTGAGATACAGAAATACTGAGACCTCAGTTTCATGTACAATATTGATAGACCTATGTTTGTCTCTTATATATATTGAGTCTATATATACATATAAACACATATACATAAATGTATATGTAGATTTGTGTGTGTGTATATGTATATATATATATACATATACATACACATATACCTATACATATATGTGTATATATATATTTGGGGGGGGGGGGGGGGGGGCTACATGTGAGGAGGTTAATCATCAAATATTTTTTAATCATCAAGTGCCATCATCACACTTGATTGTATGTAACACAGCAATTGACTGATTGGCAAATTAATCAATTCATGAAGTCTGAAATTAGACTGGCTTAAACTTCTCTACTACTGTGATGAAACCACCTCAGTGATTTCAGAATTTAGAATGTTCAATAATTTCTTTGTTCAGTAAAGAAAGTAAGAATTATATTTACAATGCTCTAAGCCCAAATACAAAAACCATGTGTGATTAAAATTTTTTTCCAGTTCTCAGACCAGACAAAGAAAATAGTCCTAGCCTAAGATTACATATTACCATCCAGTCCACCTGGGAAACAAAAGGTGTGAGAAATATTACATAATCAGACAAGCCTTCTGAACCTGTAATCTTGGCAAGGGGAAAAGTCCAGACATGATGGCTCCACTTGACTGGTTTCTCACACCCTTTATTAACACTGGGTAGAACTAGATGGGATCACTTTAGAATGGGTGGGCAGTCAATTGATTGGCAGCCACAAAGAAAGATAACTGTAGTTCAAAAGAACTTCAGTGGTAGGGCTTAAAGGCTTCCTGAAGGAAATAGTTGTATACAGAGGGGAGGAGCTAAACTCTCCTAACTGAGATAAGGGGAAAGAGTGATACAGCTAGGGGTCTTGAAACCATTCAGACTGCTGCCAGCATGCCGACTAAGAGCTGCACAAGAAAGTTTTGCTAGCTGTGTTTCTTTTTGGCAAATTGCTGAAATTATCCATGTACGATTGACAATTTTTTTTCACTCTTTTTTTCCATCTGTTAGCAGCCTAGCTATGTATGCTATTCTAACTTCCATCAATTATTTCAATACACATTCTGCTTGAAATAGTTCTTTGTTAGCATTCAGTTAACCATTCTTTTTTCTTGAATATTTGTATTTACATGTTGTTCAGTGTTTGTTTTCATATTTATAAAATGAGACTTGATTGCTGATAGTTATTATAATGAAAATTATAATGACTCAAACATCAACAAAACCATGTACATTGATTGTGGGGATATGATGCCCACATGTGTAGCCATGTGGTGATGGTTTTGATAGCCCACTGTGGCTGAACTGGCGATGGCCACTGGCGCTCCCCACTGCAGACTATGGATATAATCGCTCTAGTGTGTAACTCATATAAACTTTCAGAAGCACAGATGGGCTTTAGACAAAACATTGAGACAACTATCAGAGAGAGCAATAGAACATGATAAGACATGTTTGTTGACATTCATTGACCAAGAAAAAGCCTTCGATATGTTGTGGGAATGTATGGGGAAAAAAGGGAATCATCTCATTAATATTTGCAAAAGCCTGTACACACGTAGTAAATATTGCAAAAAATCAAAGACAGGATTGTCAAGAACTTTTATAGTGAACTCTGGTGTGCGCCAGGGCTGTGTACTATCGCCGCTTCTTTTTATAACACACATGGATGTAAGGAAATGATCTTTAATCATGAAGAAGATATTACAGAATTACTATTCGCCGACGAACAGGTACTCAAGGAAAAAAGTACAGAATGCATACAGAACCACCTAAATCAAATTAGTAACAAAAGGGAGGAATATAATATGAAAATAAACACTACGAAGACAGAGACAATAGTGATAGGAAGACAGAAAGATAATTTAGAAATAAAATTAAAAAACAACACCATAAGACAAACAGAGGAATTTAAGTATTTGGGAGCAATTTTTACATCTGACGGAATACTGAAAGCTCGAGATGTGCCAAAGCTAATCAAGTAATGGGGCAACTATCTCCCCTGTCAACACAAGCAGATACCCTGGACTACTAAAGTGAATCTCCTCAGAACTATTTTTTGGCCAACACCATACTATCAGTGCCAAACGCGGACACTTACATCCTCCAATGAACGTAAAATTGTGACAACAGAGATGAAATGCATCAAACCTCTTACTAGTTCAAACACATGACGGCAATGTGTTCCACCGCTGGGTGCTGCAGGGAAGTTAATATCTGTGTTAGACGCTGTGTAATTATTAATTGTTTCAGAGATCCAGGGTTGCAGATGTCCGATCTCTCTCAAAGTGGAGAACACCAGCTGTTATGCCTTGAGAGCCTGGTTAATCCCTTGATCAGGAAAACCCTTCTACAATCAAGACCGTTGTGTGTGACCAAAGAGGCACAACACACAACGGATCTAGAGGATACAACCTCGATAAAAAACTCTAAGCCTACAGTGTACTTATGTGCCTATTTGCTGAATGACTGTAGGTTATACAGTCGTAAACGTTAACATCTGGTTAGCGGGTGGGGCGACGCCAGATGTATGGACTCCTTAAGGACATCCCCTGCCTCTTCCCTAGCAACCAGGCAATACTAGGGTGACCGTTTACTTCTTGCATTGAAAGAATACATTCAAAGGATTTTGTACTTAATAATAAAAAGAATCATCGCCAGAGCTACGGAGTGCATGCTCTGTGCTTGATATTATCTTCAGGTGGCAAAGGAGAGAGTGGGAAGAGGAGAAGACAAGGAAATAGAGAGCGAAGATGGCATAGAAATTGGAGTCCCGAGGGTCAGGCGAAAAACGGAGCGTCTGGGATTGAAGAATATTAGAGTGGGTTATTGGAATTGTCGTAATGCCAGTCAGAGAGGACATGTACTGGAGAGACTGTTTTATGACTTGGATATCACGCATACAGGAATTAAACATAGATAGATATGAGTGTCCTGGATACATTGGTTCCATAAATCCCACTGGACAGAGAAGGCATGGGTATTGTCTGCTGGTGAAGAATGGGGTGAAACATGTGGTTCTTGCATGGGCCAGTGGAATCATCGTACACTAGAGGTTCAGAGTATATGAATAGATAATGGGGGCACAACCTGGAATATAGTAAATGTATATGAACAGTAAATGAACAGATCATGGAACAGTACTGGGGAAAATAGACTCTGTATAAACGATGGTATAGATGCAGACCTTGTGATGCAGACACGACTACTGATTTGGCGTTTGTTACCCAGCGATCATGGAAGTGACCATATGCCATGCTCGGTCTTGATTTCTAAAGTTAGCAAGGTCAGGACTGTGAGAATGCAGAAGACTTTCAAGTATGAGAGGGCCAGTACCCTTCTTGAATGCCTTTGACAGAATGTGCAGGCTTGATAATTTTGAGCGAGAAGAGGAGTGGGTCATGTCCGAACAAGTTTCAGACTTGTGAGGGGTTCAAATCACGTTAGGTCGTGAGTGCAAAGAGAGGCCAGCTGGTGTTGCAGAATCAGAAGTTCAACAAATGATTCATCAAAATGTCCGCCCATGTGATGTGATTATCTATGCAGATGGCTCTGGGTTGAGGGGCAGATGAAGTGCATAGGTTTCATAGCAAAGGTGAATGGACGTTGCTTAGTGCAGCAAATTCTTGCATATGACATCAGATCTAGTTTGAGAATTGAATGCCGCTGCGAGGAGTTATCAGAGGATGTGGCCAACACTCAGGGGAAGGATGAGACATATATACAATAAGATACTGTTGTCATTGGAATTGGAACTTTTTGCTTGCTGCTGAAGATGGGGAAGGAGCACTTATGAGAGTGTTTCGTATGCTGTGATGTCAATTCTTAATTCAACATTCAATATTCTAGTTTGAGAATGGAGGCAGAGGCAGTCTCTGCTGCCTTCCGCTAGCTTGAGAATCAGCTGTACACACATGATTGTTACTGACCGGCAGAGCATGTTGAGAAAGGTGTAAACAGGCATGCTTCGTGCAGAGTGGCAAGAATCACTTTAGAGGTCCCGGCTGGTTAGCATCCTTTGGATATTTTCTCCAGCGATGCCGGTGTGTTAGGAAATGTGCAGGCAGACAGACTGGCTGGCTCTGCACCACTTGGTGGGAAAACTACTGCAAATCAGTTTTAGTTATTCTAATCCCTAATAATATATCAGAAACAAAAAAATACAAATTTGTGGGATATCAGTAGCCTCTCTTGGCAGTGTTAAACTTGGTTTGGGCACATAGTGAGACATAATTCGATTACAAAGACTGTACTTCAAGAAACACTGGGAGGTTGTTGAAGGAGAGGAGGGCAAAGAAGAACCTAGAATGACAATATCAAGAAATGGGCAGGACTAAGTTATCATACACATATTTATCATGCGGAAGACAGAGAAAGATGGCGGGTTTTATGTGTTAGTGCTTCTATCAATACACCTCCACAACCCTAATGGGTCAAGGGTTATGTTATGTTATTCTAATCCCTAGAGGGGTCATTATTGTAACAGCTAATCAGTCTGAAGCAGGGACCAATTCCAACTAATGAGAAAACGGTTCGGCTAGAGCCATCTTCCTGGCGCATGTATACAGTTATGGTCAGGTGATGGCCATGTGTATCCAAGGCGTCATTTTCTATCTCATTTCACTTTTGTGGGAAGTCAGTGTTAGACATTTAGTCAGTTTCAAGTGATTTTATTTCAGAATTCAGACTTGGGATATTTTAGTGATTCTCGACGTATACACTTTCAGAAAAATCTAAATTTTCATTACCATTATCCAAATTAAAAAGATCTGACTGAAACAATTTCAGAGCTTGGGCCGCAGAAAGACGCATTCTGCGAAAACGAACTTAGAAAATGCACAGTTGAAAAAAAAATGTAGCTATGAATCCAATTAATCTATGCAAGTGTGGCTTTAGATACAGAATGTAGTTAAAAGGCAATCGTTAGCGTGACTTTCCCTGAATAATTTAATCATAGTTCTGAACATGAGAAACAAGTACTGAGCCGTGTGCGAAGCAATATGTACTGGACACACGATTGACAATGACAGCATTGTTTGGGCAAAACGGAACTTCTCAATCAGCGTTCACATCATTGCTAGGGCCTTGAGGAGTTTTTTTTTTTTAAAGTTTTTTTTTATTACCTTTCATTGTTATCTCCACTGAAACGTTTTCTGTAAGACAGTGGTGTTGGAGGAGGCTTTTGCTTTATCAGTCAGCAGGACTGCCAACATGCCACATTTGAACCTTAAGTCACGCCCTGAGTCACTGCCCCATCACTCCAAAGGCCCGTTAAAGTGGTGATAGTGCTTACTATGGGAAGAACTGGTTTAGAACACTCCTACCACTCCACCTCGGGCTGTGACTCAGGGGTTAGCTCCCACACCCTGTTAAAATGGGACACTATATGGGTTTAGAAAATGAGATCCAAGAGAAACTTAAAGATGGAATGCTCATGTTGTGCTCACTCCTCCGTGAAGTTTCTATTACATACACGGCAGCGATGGAAACCAAGATGAGAATAAGACTTTCTTTCACTATTCATGGCAAAGCCAGGCAATTAAATCTAGTGTATTATAAAACAGAAATGTAAAACCCTTTCATTTCCCTTTAACTACGTATATATGTTTTTATGTCTTTAATGATGTTAATTACACAACAAAGAACATAGCAACTAGGAGTGCTGATGACACTTCAAACAGAGACAAGTCAGTCAGATGTATAACTTCCGGTTAAATGAAATTTATGGATTTGAAAAAGGAAAAAAAAAGATACATTATAACTGTCTGTAATTACATTAACATTTAATGTCGTATAACCAGGCAGGTATGCTACTATCAATATATAGACAATTTCATTTAAAATTTGCAATCACATCCACTATCCAACATCTGCAAAGCAGAAAAAACTATTTAGGCTTATACCATCAACTTCTGAGGACAAACTCTATAGACATGCCATCAAGCTCAAGTTGACTGCTGTTTTCTTTAAATTTATTCATATTGATGTCTTAATGGGTCTGAAGAAGAAGGCATGTGTGGCGCTATCCACTACAAAATTAACAATAACATCCATAAGCACAGGCTTACCTGACATAGAGGGAAATAGGCACTACAGTGTTCAAAATGATGATGTATGATAGAAAAACAAGGACAGCAATGGTAGTGGCACCATTGTCTTTGTTTCTGTGAACAAATGTTTCCCAAGGGAGGTACACCTGGAAGTTGTATCCCACCAATGATTCCCAGATGCCACAAGCTATTGTACAGATCAAGCACATCCCCACAAGAAACAAAAAAATCTGTGGATAAACAATGTCAAACCTGTCAATAATTATACTTTAAAAAATATATATATATATTTTATACAGCTGTTGCCACTTTGATACCGCGACATGTTTTCATCATCAAGTGTCCTCCTGATAAGGCAATTATGTGGTAAATATTTGTTTTATCATTCTCAAATCAGTTTTATGTTTCTTTTTCTGGCAATGGGAGATGACTGAAATTATTTACATGTTAAAATTTCTTCCATTTACTTGGATACTGGAATGTGGTACTTATTTGGACACTGAGGTCTGTCCTTGAATTGTTAACTAGCTTGCAGCAGTCACGAGTAAACCTCAAACTGCTGCTGCATAAGTACCCGGGGCTAAAAATATAGCAGCAGAGACTATGGATACTGGAAGAATACTTGATAGGAGTTGTCAGGAGCAGAATCCTGCTGCTGAAAATGTCCAGGTCCACATGCTTATCAGTGATAAACCATAATAACTCATGTAAGTGGAAGAACACTGATCTTTGCCAATAATATTGGCCCTTTTCACTCTTTTTTTTTTTTTTTTGGGAATAAAAAAAAAAATGCATATTGCTTAAGCCTACTTTTGCTATGGCGATTCCTGCTTTTTTCTCTGCAAAGAATCTTGAATACCTGTTCGCATGGTTAAGCATTTCCCCATTTTATTAGATTTTACACTGTGTTAATTATTTCTTCTTGGTGATGCCTGTGATGAAACGACCTCAGTGTTTTTTAAAGTTATTATGTTTAATAATTTCTTAGGGTCATAGAGATACAAAGAACTATATTCACTAGGCACTATGCCCAAATATTATTTAAACCATGTGGGATTTCAGATTGTTTCCAGCCCTTAGCCCAGACAAAGCAGCCAGGTTTTGTTTAATATTATATAACATTCGGATTACCTAATATAGCCAGCTGGTCTAACTGGGAAAGTTCAGACATAGTGGCTGTAGGGTTTGATTGTAGAACTGAAGTGTCATATAATTATCTCCTGACCAGAGACCACAGGGGCAGGCAACTGGTCATAAAACTAATTACCCCCCCCCCCCCCCCCCCCCCCCCGCGCAAAATTATCTTCCTTGAACTGCAGACTAGAGATTCTAGTGTCATAAAGGTTAAATAACCAGCCAGATTAGGTCCTTTCAACAGATAAGTGGAATTAACCTGGTCAAGTAATGAACTCTAGACATGATGGCCTCCCCTGGACCGACTTTTCACACCGGTCAGTGACTCGGTCTGGGACTAGATGTTTACCACTTAAGAATGTTTGATCAGAGTAGGGGCAGTCAGAATTGACTGATAGGCACATTGATAGCTAATTTGATCTGCAAGGCACTTCAGGGCGTGGTTTAGATTATCTCCTGTAGGGTAGGTTAGACACTAGAAAAAGAGAGGAGTTGACTTTGCAGATAGATTACCTATACTGCTAGGGAACTGCATTTACTCCATAGTGCTACCAGCAGGCCATAAACTCAGATCAACAGTACAAAGTCATTCTAGCTGTGTGAGTCTTGTCTGGCAATTTGCTGGAATGTTCCTAACTCCAGCCAGTGTAAAGACCAGTCAGTTCTGATAACAACAGAGGGTCCACGTGCATGAACCTACATTGTGTGGGAGATCGGCAAGCTGGGAACCAGCTGGGGAACCAGCTGGGGAACAAGCTGGGAACAAACTGGGGAACGAGCTGGGAAGAGGAGCGGAAAAAGACTGACAGTGTCTAACACCTGTCAGAGGTTTCCACTGTTTCCTCCTGATTGTATGCGTAAACTTATCATCATCCTAACTTCTCTAATCCCAGGTGCTCAGTTTTCTAGCTGAAGCATCTCATCACTATCATACCATCAGCCAGTCACTGTCTGTGAAAACACTGCAAATTGACAAATGTCATCTAAATGATTGTTAGTAAATAAAGCTGTATGTCAAGTTGTCAAGTTTATTCTACTAGACAAGTTTGTTAACTTCCAAGTCCAATTAGTCTTACCTGTTCAACTAAACAGTTAGATAGAATTACAGTTGGTGGGTGCTCATTAATAATTCTTTACCAGGAGGTGCTAGTCGGGAAGGGTCACCTGCCCTGTCTAGTAATTCAATAATTATAATAATACTAGCTGTACCCGGCCACGCGTTGCTGTGGCATAGTTTGGCTAAATGGAAATGAAAGAAAACAGAAAACGCACGTATCTAATACAATCATTGTCTGCTCAGATATAGAGATAGTATTTGATCCCCGCCCACCACCACAACTAAATCCACCTACTACTATCTCCCTCATCAAAGGTTTTTGGAAAAGAAAGACAATGGAAATCGCACGTGTCTAATACAGTTAATGTCGCAATCATTCTCTGCACGGATATAGCGATAGTCTGGTTTTCCAACTTTAGAACACGCACCTTATAATTGTGTCTTTATATTAGTGGTCGTTTAAATGGTGTTATTAGCACAGTAACAAAAATGGTTATTTGGTTATCACATGCTAAAGCTGTTTGTATTTTTATAGGGGGACGGAAGTAAAGCTACAACTGTACTTGTGAATAACAAAGTAAGTCGTAAAAAAAAAGAAAAGCGGAGGTAGCGTTAGTAAAATATAAACAAATTAGGCAATGAGAACTTGAAAATCAAGTGTAAAGCTCTTTAATTTCTCTTAAATTTAAGTCATTACCCCCTCCCCTCTTCCACCGACTACTGCTCTCTCCCTCTTCGAAGGATTTGAAAATCACTAACTGGCGATATTTTGTTGTTGCTGTAACTGACATTGACATCCCTGTCCATCTGGACTAAAATAGGGAGCAGGAATTGTAAAAGGTAGTGAATAGGGCTAGTGTAATATTTACCACATCATCCTTCAAGTACCAGTACAACTACTAAAATAATGTCACTGCTATCTGTGTTACCATCGGAGTAGACAGAGAGTCGTGAGCCAGAAGATTTGATTCCGCATGGCTAGTGCTGTCGCCACAGACTGGTCAGGTTAGGATGTATAATTTCACTTGCCGACAGAAGAACGCCATAACCTTACCGGCGGTCTTCACATGAGAGCACTATGGTGTAACAGCCCTGGTGTAACAACTATTACTGCTGCTGCTACTTTAAGTGGGTAAAGCAGTTACTGTGACTTAAAGCTCTCTCAGTTAATAGTTTGCCCCCCCCCCCCCCCCCCCCCCCCCCCCCCCTTCCCCGTAAATTCACCGACAACTCTTTCCCTCATTGAAGTAGTTGGGAGAAAAAAAACACACTTGAAAAGCAAATGAACACAGGAAAAAAACACCATAATTAGGAAATGAACGCCATTGTAAACAGCACAGCTTAAAATTCCAATGCAGATGAAATAACTAAATATAAATGAAAATAAATGAAAATCTATAAAATTTCAGCGTAACCATGCAATCGGAAAGTTTAACAATGCAGTCATAAGTATGCGAAATGGTCAAATTTAATTATCAAATGGTTTACCCATTTACTTGTTTTTGTTTTTTTTTAAATATTAAGGCAACATGGCTAGTGCTGTCTTCACGACAGAGCAGATGAGGATATTATTTTAGTCCGGGGTAAAAAAAAATTTAACGACTGCGGATTCGAACCCAGGTCTACCGCACATGAACCTAGTGTTCTAACCATTCGACCAAGCAGCCACTTAATCGGAACAACGAAAAGAGAACTCAACTATTAGACATGTGAGTCCCTACTACTGTGTCGCGATTAAAACACAATTCAAAACCGCAGGTAATTGTTTTCTCGTAGACAGATACTCCAGATATATTAATCAAATAGAAATCGCACGTGTCTAACACGGTTAATGAAGTTAATGTCGCAGTCACTGTCTGCGCCGACGTCGAGATAGTCTTTGATTGCCCCCCCCCCCACCCCCACCCCATCGAAGGTTGTTTAAAAAAACACAGAAAATAGAAATCGTGTTTAATATGGTTATTGTGGCAAATATAGAGATAGTCTTGTTTGCTGTACCACGACCTACTCTATGTATTAGTATTAGAGAAGGCGTTGGCTGCACGTAACTCGCCGGCGAATGGTAAATATGGCGCATGCGCAATTACTAACGTGGCTATAATTAGAAATCACTAAAGTTATAAATATTAGTTGCGTATACTTTGGCATAAATTGTGGTCACCTATCTTTAACAGTGACAGGTTGAATTTCAAACCGCGACAGTTCAAAATCCGGTATCACAACAAACATATCCTTAAAATTTCAGCTAAATCGGTTCAGTAGTTTCCGAGTCTATAGGGGTGAAACAAACACACAAACATTGATTTTTATATATATAGATAATCTAAAACCCCTTTCTTTCTCCTGTGGGTACCAAGGGCAGTTGTTGTGTATTTACATGACGAGCCTAAGATGGCCATTTTCTTGGATATCCAGGACTTTGTTTGAGATCAACATAGCTCTGATAGTAGTCCACTATCTCTGGTGGAGGGGAAGTGTTGAGAGTAAAACTCCTAATCATCACAAATGCACCTATTCACTCGGGGACCCGCGACAATGCCCATAATATTTTTCTTACAATTTTACTCTAAGCCTAGTTGCTGCTTCTGCTTTTTCTATTGTCCTGCTGCTCATGCCGTAAAGTATTCAGAGAGGAGTTAGATGTAGTTTCTTGTCTTTTGCTAGATATGTATTTTGTGTTAATATCACATGGCATTTCTGTATTGTCTACACCTATCTCTCTCTTGGTCTGCCTCTTGCCTTGTAGCCTGCTGTTCTCATGTAGTAAGCACTAGCTGTTGGCGGAATTTATTCCATTCTGACCAGATGACCAAACCATTTTATTCTTTGATGTTTTATTAAATCTTCCCTGTGGCAACATACGGATGTGAGTCGTGGACTATCTCCTAATCCTTGAGAAAGAGAATAGGGGCTTTTGAGCTGAAATGCTTTAGAAAGATTCTCAGAATATCTTGGACAAAGAAGAAGAGAAATACTGACATCTTGAAAGATCTAAACATCAAGGAAGATTGGCTAATAAACAGAGCCTGTCTCAGAAAC